ATAATGATAATGATAAAAATAATAATAATAATAATAAATGTGATGGATAAACAATCGCATTACGCGCGTCCACTACTCTAGGGATGATAAAAAACGCGAACAGAATATAGGTATAACAAGAAACAAAAGCTCAATTATTAGACGAAGAAAAAAAAGAAAAAAAAAAAAAAAAAAAAAAAAAAAAAAAAAAAAAAATCTCCCGCAGAAAACCAAGGAGGAAGAAAAAAAAAACAAAAAAGGGGAGAAAAAAAAAACCAAAAAAAAAAAAAAAAAAAAAAAAAAAAAAAAAAAAAAAAAAATAGAAGCTCCGCTCGAGATCACACGGTACTAGTAAAAATCCCGAAAAAGGGGGAAAAAGGTAAAACAAGCCGTGCCATATGCGACAATCTCTCCACCATTGAATTACACACGGACGATCCCCTCGTGTCCCTCTCTGTCCCCGTCTCGTTGACTTTATCCAAGGTGCGCGTGCAAAGGCACCCCCTCGCACGGAGAGACCGGGGAAGAAAAAAAAAAAGAGCTAGTCGTTTCCGCGTTGGTAACGCGATACACCCCGGGACCGGACGCTGAATAACTTTGCGCACTATACTCGCTCTCGCGCGACACTTTTTCCGCTCGCACCTCCGTCGCGTCCGAGTACACAAGTATATAGGTACACATAAATATAAATACACCGAGACAGTATCGGGTTTCGCCCGTGTCATTCTTTGTTCTTCGGTGTTTTTCGCTCGATCGAAGTCGACGCCGTGTGTGTACAATGACACGCCAAATAAGTTTCTCTTTAATCAGCCGTAAAGGGTAACATATTTGCTCCTCGGGGTGTAAGGGGCGTTGCGCAATTGTCGCTGGAGTGATAAAACGATACACGCGAACTCTTGCATCGGTCCACAGTATACGTATGGGACACAATTCAACAACAAGTCGGTGGACGAATAAATATAATAACATTGACATGCATCAGTGATCAACAGTGCACCTTTCACAACGAGATCAGTACGTGTATACATATACCTACTGAAATCGCATAAGTATCGGGCCGCCACCACTTTGCAAACAGCTCGATCATCGTACTGTATTAAACACACGCACACGCACACACGACGTCAAACAAATGTATAACACGAATGCAAGAGGCAGCAGCGGCGGTGGGGGGAGAGGGTGGGCCGTGTACGCGTGTGTATATATATGTCGCCGGAGGGCTGGGCGTGGTCCCCCGGTAGCCCCTATGCGAGAAAAGGGCCGAATCATCGAGCGCGTGCGGCGTATCCCCGGTAGCTCTACCTGTTTTCGCTCTCTCTCTCTCTCTCTCTTCGGTGTTATTACACGCACGGTCCAATTTGGTGGGCCCGTGCACGGAGATCTGGCCCCCGGGCTTGCGGCGGTGTCTTTATAGCTCTTGCTTGCTTCTCTTCATCCCTCCGTATATGGTGTTGCTGATGGTGTTTTTTTTCTTCCTTCTCTTCCTTTTTTTCTTTTCGTACGGATAAAGTACACTGTAGGTGAGATGCTGCTGATTTCCTCTTCCACGACATTGGTGGGGTTGTAATGTGGACTTGTATGTTTGTTGATTTGTCACTTGGGGTGGGATAAGCGGGGCAGGTGTATGTTTTTGTTTTAATTAAATTATTGTAACGTATGATTACGCGCGTGTTGGGCAAGAGATGAAAACAGAGGATCATTTGACGTGAAAGGAGAGGCGAGGCTGAGTAAGAAGAAATAAAAGGGGGTCGGAAGAAGAAGAGGGACTGCTGGACTAGCGAGATGAGCGCGGGAGTTGATTATTTAAAAAATATATTTATAATAATAATAATAATAATAATAGTGAAGGAAGTGGAAGAACAAAAAAATGAAATAAAATAATAAGAGAAAAACAGAAGGTTCCGCGTCAATCAGCGCCGGCACGTGAGTGTGGCGAGTTTGAAACCACAATTATCGGACACATGAGTGATGATGTGTGTATGTGTATAGACTGTGCGTGTGTCCGACTACGATGGACGTGGGGAGTGAAGGAGGGGGATCGGGAAATTGGTAATCTACAAATTTGACGGGGGATGCTGGACCACCGGGTAGGTGGACAGAGGGATGGGGAGGAGGCACTTGCGATGGCTTCTAGTACCTAGAGTAGCCATTCGAGTAGCCGTTCGAGTAGCCTTTGGAGCCCTTGAAGGGAACGGAGTGTATGCTCCTGGAACAGAGATCGTGCCAAAACGAGAGGTCAGAATGGGACGTGTTGGTATTTTATTATTTTATCTTTTTTTTTTTTTTTATTTTTCCATTTTTCCGTGCAATGGCATGAGTGGTTTTGGGAAGAAAAAAATTTGTTTTTCACAAATAAGTGAATTCAGCACCGAGAGTCTGCCCAAACAAGCACAACTTACTTTTGTTCTCAAACGACGCGTCTTACATTTTATAGTTAAGGATACACCAGACGGAACAAAGTAGAGACAAGATTATTACGACATATTTTACTCTTGAAAGTACAACGTGCGTCAAAGAAGGACAAGTTGACGAAATAAAAGTAATTAACAAAAAACATCAAAGAATCACAGTCACGCCCGTGAAAAAAAAAAAGAAAAAAAAAAAAGACTTGTCCTCAAGACTACTTGACAATCATTGTCATCGCGTGTAAGTGAAGTGCCAGTATAGGTGGGCTCGAAATGCAAATACGACTAAGTACTTGCAAGTACTCATTACCGATGATTAATTGTTATTTTTCTACTTGACGTATTTTGTTCTTCCCAAGTCCAAAACCGTATGAAAATGATAGTGGTTAGTATAAAATAGAGTGCAGTACAGTACGGCATGCTTAGGTGCGTTATTCAGAAAATTGAGAGGACTATTTTCCTTTCAAGTACAATGTATTGTTATATATAAAAAATAATATGTTGTCATCATGTATGTATAATATATGTATATATAATATTTATAGTGTCTATAAGCAGTAGGTTAATGATAAATCACAATATGTTGAGACCAAAAATCAATAATTAATAATGATAATGATAAAAATAATAATAATAATAATAAATGTGATGGATAAACAATCGCATTACGCGCGTCCACTACTCTAGGGATGATAAAAAACGCGAACAGAATATAGGTATAACAAGAAACAAAAGCTCAATTATTAGACGAAGAAAAAAAAGTGCTTGCGATCAAAGCAGTTTGATCAAGTGGTGTAAAAACAGTGTATTAGCATCGGATGGTACAATGTGATGGAAGGGCTTTTAATGAGGGCTTTCAGAGACAGTGTAGTACTAGCGATTTTTCCAGAGCATCTTTTTTAACAAATAAAAAAAAAAGTAATAATAATAATAATAAAAACAACAAAAAGAACAACAGACATCGACGACGCATATAATAATAATAATAATAATAATTTTCTCTTTACACTGACGTGGGTATGTGTTTAAAGTGTGTAAAAACTGTGGGTGAGTGAGATACAATGCGCGTGAGAAGGCAGGAGTAGGTCCCGAGAGCCAGCTCCCGCTCACCGCCACCCACATCTACAACAGAACAGAAAAAAAAAAAAAACAAACAAACAAGACCACCGCCATTACACACAAGGTCATAATACACCATTTGAGTATATAAGTAGTAGTAAGTAAGTATATATGGTATACAGTAAGTATAGGAGTTTTGTTGAATACGACAGTAAGAAATAAGTTTCATTAATTTGTAGTAATAAAAGTTGAATAATAGAGTTACAGGAAATTTTTACTGCAAGAACTACGGTATGTAAAACGATTAGGACCACAAGATGCGTATGTTTTACCGTAGTTTTTGGAATAATTGTTTCCAAGTTATGGGTGTTGGAAATGTTTTTTGAAACATGGATATTTTTTCCAGTGAACTTTCCTTCTTTGATAAGATTCTTTCTACATTAGAACAATCAAGATTTCAATCTTCTCAAAGGAGCTTTCTAAATATTTATAAAGTTATGAAATTCAGGTTAACGTAATATCATTAATGAGGAAAACCATGCAATTGCCGTAAACTCGTGGTAAAATTATCCATATTTTGAGATTAATTACTTCTATACTAAAATTAATATAATTTACGATAAAGTTGACTATTAATATTTTATGTTATTACGTAAACATACACAGAATTGAAGTCATTTTACCCCATGTATATACAGCTTACAATGTACAACAAGGCAAATATCGAGACCTTAGGAGCCAGGGTCTCTAGTACCATTCTACCCACAAAGACAAAGGAAACGTTGAGACTACCTGAGCTAAAATCCACTAACTGTATAAAAACTTGTGACCTACAACTTGGAATATATTCAATTTCCCATAGTAATCTTCAAGAGAAAAAAAATCCCAATGAATATTCCGTCATTTAGCTCAACCAATATTAATAGGTGTAAAAGTTAACGATACACGCCCTTTCATTTGCTTTGTAAATGACTCCACATCATAGTTCTAAAAGTAAAAATTCTTGCAACTACTTCCTCCGTACACCATCTACAAGTCTGTCTTGGGAGCGTATTTAGCACTTACATGCAATATTATCTCGCAGACACGCGTAGTCGTAAACTAAGCTCGTCCCTCTCTCGCATGCCAAGAGATATTGTCTTTCCACATTATTTCACTGAGTTTCGTCAAAAAAAAAAAAAATAATAATAATAATAATATCAAAAAACCCGCTGTGTGACCTTCGACTCTGAGCAACAATGAGAGAGAGAGAGGCAAGAAAAAAATAAATAAATAAACAAATAATAAAAGTTTCGTCGTTATACGATCTGGGCGCGTTATCCGCCTGATTTATCGGTTACGTGCCGCTGCTTCCGCGACGGGAATAATCATCATCATCATCATCATCATCATATTTCCCTCGTGGCCGTTATATACCTCTTGCGGCCGTTGTTGTTGCTGCTGCATGCCCTTTCCTGCGTTCGTATGGTACACCTATACCCCTTCAGCCGACTTGAGGTTTTCAAGTCGCTGGGTAGGTAACCGGTGATTTGCGACCGTACGCGGCGATCAATTTCAGAGACGATTTTCACTGGTGCCCTTTCCTTCTGCTCCGTTTACGCGGGCTCCTCCCCCCCCCCTCTTTTTCTCGGTTATTGTTACTCAAACGACGCGACGCACGCGGTGTGTTGTTTACGATTGTTCCCCTTTCGAAGGTACAATATTATCTGTTTGATTAATGAATTTTCAGTTGTTTTAATGGATAGCGTTTTGCAATCGCTTTGTACGTGCTCTTTGACATTTATCTCGTGCCCAATAAAGCGATCGTATGTTCGAGTATACATTGTACTTTGTGCAGTCTTTGTCACTCGAACGAGGTAAACGCGTGTACCGCGAAATCGGGGGAATCGGTTGGAAATCGGAAAGTTTGAGGCCAAATGTTTGCATTGCGTTTATTCATTGTCTTATTCTTTTCCTCGTCCCAAAAGTTGTCGAAACAATATGGTTATCGGTATTTTCTACCAGGTGTCCTCGAACGCGATAAGAATCGTCGCTTAGCGCGCGTACAACGATCCTCGAGGAAAATAATATTCTCCACTCGTTTTTTTTTCGGACGTTGGTTTTGCCACGCACGCATATGCCTTTATGTTACTTTATCGTCGGGTGCTATGTTTCACGGACATGCGCGTAACGCGAATGAATTTATACGACACGCGTCTATGATGATTCTTTGCGCTTAAATGTCGTTAAACGTAATTGGTATTATCGAACGCGTGTGTATAAATATTGTATGATCTCATGACAATATCATTCATACAAATATAACGTGTACATATACACACGTCGCATATTTATGATAATGGAAACGATTTTCGCGTAACCCAATGACTTTTTTTTTTACCAATCTATCCGATATACCTTCATGTACCATTAATTTTTTATTCGTTATATTTTTTTGAACACGAGCGTACCGATTACCAGCAACAAAAGCAGCAGCAACAACAGGACGTTTTTTGTATTCGTGTTCAAGTTTAATTGCTTATATGCCACCGAAAGAACGCGATCGAGAAAGAAACCGATCGACGTAATTGGAAGAAAAAAAGTCAAGAAGATGAAATGAAGGAAAAGTCGGACCGTCGCGTCGCTGAAAAACGAAGAGTCGCCATCGTCGTTGTATTAGTTTCTAGGAGAGCGTATAGAAACCGGTTTATCTCTCTTCATTGATCTCTCGCGCTCGCGTGCGCCATTATCGTATCGCAAGTGACTATAGTAGTAGTAGTAGTGGTGGTAGTAGCAGCACCCCGAGTATGAATGTATACTTGGATGTGGACAGCAATTTTTATACGTATATGCACATGCATGTACAGTTGGGTGAAAATAAGGTGACGTTATTTCGACCACGACATAATGATATTATTCCCTTGGCTAAATAGCGCGCGAATAAAGTGTGATTTACCGGTGATTACGCGACAGGAGAATGTCAAAAGGTGCTACGAAAGAAGATGAAGAAAAATGACACATCTGTGTAATAACGTATGAAAATACCCATAGAAGCTAAATACATAGTGTGTGCATTATAATAAAATGATCGGTATGCAATTATTTGAAATAAGGATAGTACGGAGAAAAACATACTTAAATTGGAAAAATGAAAAAAAAAAGAAGGTAAAAATAAAATAGAAAATTTTTATGTAAATACCTGTGCTGTTTGAGGTTGTCCTGGCGTTTAAAGGACTTGCCGCAGACCTCGCAGGTGAAGGTCACGTCGGCCTTGTGGCTGCGCTCGTGTATCATGAGGTTGTAGGGCTTGGTGAAGCGCCGCTGGCAGTACTTGCAGACAAACTCGACCGTACATTTGGCTCGCATCTTCTGCCGGCGGCCGAACTCCCTGCCGTGCCCCTCTGTCTCCATTGACATTATCGCGAACATCCTTATGCGGATTCCCACCCGTTGCCGGGGACCCACGGACGAGATATATATATATAAACGCTGGCAGTAGTGGTAGTACTGCTGTAGCAGTTGTCTCTCTTTCTTTCTTTCTTTCTCTGTTGTGCGCCGCCGCCGCAGCAGCGCAACAGTACAATCTCGTCTCTCTCTCTTTATTACTTCACCAAAGGCTTGCTCGCAGTTGCTCTCTCTCTTTCTCGCTCTCCGTTCCACCTCCACGCCTCTTTGTCGACGACAATGACAACGATGTACACACTTGTATACCTGCCAACACAAGACACATCAAAGCCACTGTAATTTTTTTCTAATTTTTTTCTAATTCTTTTTTTTATTCTAATTTTACACTCTTTTTTATTTCACTTGTTGCAAGGAACGAGTGTTCGCAATGCATCTAGAATAGAGGCCGTGATGGGGTCGCGCGTGTATAAATTATTTAGCGCCCGTACCAAGCCGATACTGTACTCTCGGACAAAGGAGATATCGGCAACAGAAGTTGCAAGCTACCGGCGATCATCTCTCGACCATCTTTCGTAATGCTGTTCCCTCGCGTCGATAAACCTCCATACATACCTCATAGTATCATATAACCACTGTAATATTGTCTTTGCCCCTGAATTTTTTGGGAAAAAAATCATATGGTAATAAATGAAGATATAATATATACGCAAGAGTCGAAACGAATTATTAATCAACAGCAGTGAGTCTTGGGGTCCCGTTTGATATATTTACAGAAGACACAAACGAGCCGGCTAGAGAAAGAGGAGACGTGGGGTTATAAAAATGCGGCCATTAAGACGCCACGGGGGGCTCTTCGCTCGTTATCCGTACCGGGAGAAATCGTCCGGCATCGGGAAAACGCTCTCGTTATAACAACACCGGCACAAACCGACAAACAACCCGACTACTTACTTATTTCGATACTACTTCTCGATCGGTATACTTTTTTTTTTAATTTTTTTTATGTCGTCGTTAGTACACGAGATGGGCGTATTTATTGCGAGGAATTTTCGTTCGTGGGACTTTAGTGCGAGTTCGCCGAGGGAATCAATTATTTTCGAGTGTTCGGTAAAAGAGTCGTTCGATTATAATTTAGAAATTTTTATGGATTATCGTCCGCAGATCTTTCGCGGCATGTGATAGTCTTTGACGATTCACGTTTAGCATCGAAGAAAATTTTTTTACAAGATCACTTTGTCCTTGTCCCCTTTGACCAAAGCTTCTTGTTTCGTTTCATCAGTCAGTATTCAAGTCAAACAGCACTGAGAGAGCAATCAACTGGTAACCAATTTAAGAAAATTAAATTAGCACGGCAATTTTCAGCCCCTTGCAACAAACGACTGTACAACACAGCACACGTGAGCCAGAACACGCGCAAGAGTCGTAAAACCAGTCTACCTGAACAAAAGCACTGTGTATACAGGCCAACTAGTCTACAGGTGGTAAGTGTAGGCAATGGTTACAGTGTAGCAATGGCAGTATATTTCTCTCAAGTTAACGCCGACGCGCAAATAAGGGAAACTACCCGTTTGGACAAAGATTTCTGCTGTCGTGCAAGAGTCTAACTAAAGGGTGGAAGTACACTTTCATTATCTTTTTCTATGAGAAATGACAAAACTGAAGAAATAAAACGATGCTTTGTTGAAGAAATAGATACTAGTATCCTTGGTAATTTGTAGTATAACATCTTTATTGTAGTTTAAAGTTCATGAGTAAAAAATAAATTATAAATTTATAACCCTATATTACTATGTGCTCATCCATTATTATTTAAACGTCATATCTGTAATACGAATATTGTATCGTCGCATTGAACTTGGTTTTTTTGACCATCGATGTATTTATGAGCAAGTGCTCTTTTTCAGAACTCATTCAGAGACGCTTTTGCTTTGGATACTTTCAAGACTTATTGTTAAAGGTAGTATCTGAAATGTGTACGAGTTAAGGGGACTTTTATTGTTAAAATAAGCCTAACGGTGAAATGAAAGTATATATTATTTGCAAGGACCCAATACATAGCAACTCCTTGGGGGTATACATTTTGAACTAAGTAAAATAGAAACATTGACAAGAGTGGAAGAAGTGCTGAGACACCATTAAAATCATTCACTAGTCTGGTTATCTTTGACGCTAACTGAGCTAAGACTAATCTTACATGCAAGCCTAATGTGGTAAAGAGAATAATTTAATCTACTGAGAGATGTGTTACTGTTTATTAAGTAGGCTTATATTTCGTAAATGTTGTCAGTACCTTGCAATTGTTTGTTTTCCTAGAAAACCCTACGCGTAAGTCGTGCGTTTAAGTTTGCGTCATAAAGCATGAAGGTTCCGAAACAAAAGATTATTCGTCCTGACTTACTAAATCAAGGATGTAGTATATTGATGAGCTCCAACTAATTGGCAAGAATCTTGCCACTAACCCTAGTTGCAATACTTCTAAGGATACTGAAAAATGGCCAAATACAATCGTTACGACCGTCAAAGGATTTTAGCTTCAAAAGTAGTGATATTTACTAGCTGTATACTCGGCAATGATAAAATAACGTTAAGGCCCACACCAAGTGAGCCGCAGCACACTGGCTTGCCCTAGCTAATATAGTGCCAAAAAGGGTCTGGTACAAGCTGAAATTCCTTCACGACGGGTAGCCTTTGTATACGTTGCTAAGATGCCATGAGGTTCAACTTCCAATCGTAAGCCAACTTGGAATAGCAATACTCGTTCCCTCCTTACCTAGTCAACGAATTCACATTCATAACACATTCAAGGCACGCTCTCGCATAATCCAGCTACCGCTGATACACCATTTCCAAGGAAAAAATACGCTACAAACGTGCGTAAGCAGGTACCGACACGAAAGTACACTACTTATCGTGGCTAGAGTTTGAGTAGAGCATTACATTAGTCGTGCCAAGCGCATAAAAGCCGCCGCTGCTGGCGTGTCCGAATGAGTAATAAGCCGCCGGCGCGTGCTACCGCTACACCAGGTAGTTAGGTATATACCTACGTGTTGCGGGCGGGCGAAGCCGTCTAGCTAGCTACTTAACTGCGCCGTAGCTTACGGCCGGCAGGACCTAATTGGGCCCCCGTGTTACGCGCTTGGTATAATAGGTAACGACTGGAGAGCTGGCTTGTTTTTCTTTTATCTCTCCTTCTCTGGTTCTCTCGAGGTGTTTCTCCTCTTTCGCTTTTGGACTCGCATACCTGTCTGTATACGTATCTTTCCCTTCTTTTCGTCTCGCTCGTGTGCTGCAGCCACTGGATTACGCGCACGTGACTTTTCACTTTCGGAAGCGTTAGGGTTTGCTTTTGATTGCTCGACTTAGACTCGAGAGTCCTTTTTTCAGTGGACACAAAGTGTAGAATATATGAAAGTTTCTAAAACAATGATAATACAATTCAAATGAGTGGCTGTGTTTTTTTTTTAATTACAGATTTAGAATTGAATTACAATTGCCATGTGGTTAGGTAACGAGATGCTCGTGGCTAAATCTATCGTTTGAAAGAATATTTTAAAATCAAGAACAAATATCCAGACAGGTGTATGCCCATTACTGGATGGATTTGATTAGTTTCGAGACGGATCGTTAACGCGTCATTGGATTTTCCATTGAATGTACACCCGACGAAGCGATTGTGTCACGCTCCCGACTCGTGATCTTTTCTTTACATGCACATAGCGGTATATTAACTACATCTGACGTATCAAGATGGTCCGCCTCTGTCTCTAACGATTACCGCACAGTTATTGGACTCGTGATCTGACGAGACAACCGCACCCGCCACTGAGGAGACAGCCGATTGATAAAATGTTCTTATAGCAAATGACTCGTGCCCACGATGTGGGAGTCAATTCTACTGGAAGGAACCGCGCGTCCTCGCTATGAATGCGACTTGGTGACTCACGTTACACAACCAGAACGTTGCTAAAGAGTCAATGTAGCATAAGTTATCTATCGGTGCTCGCAATCATTTTATGGTATCGAGGTTCAGGGAGCACATGCAGCCTCGAAGCAGCAATTAATTTTTTTCAACCTTTACGTCTTAATATACAAATCGTCATATTGTATCAATATCGTAAACGTCCAATCTCCATTGAAATATTAGAAAGAACGAGGTAAGTTTGAGAAGCAAATTAAGCCTCAACAACTAAGCTATTTACCAGAGGCACGTACAATATGTCTCTTAGCGTACAACCCGCGTTAATCCTGTTATTAAAAAAAAAAAAAATTAAATAATAATGGCAAGTTAACTTTTATAGTTATAGCACTGATACGCACATTTCGTTGTTTGTGTTGAGCATGAAAATTTTAACCGAGAAATAAAAATGAAGTGCACGTGCCAAGACTGTAAGAGCCGGGCAATGCGGAGGGGGCCACCAACCGGGAGCGTGCATGCTGCTACTGTGCGCCGCCCTGCGCGCGCGCTAAGCGAGCCAGAGCACAGAAGCCGGCATGCCCGAGCGGCTACCGGTTTTTTCGACCAGTTACAGGCTGCCCCGGGCGCCTCCCTCCCCCCCTTGGCACGACCACACCCTCTAGCCTTCCTCTTTAAACGCATGCTCGTGACTTGATTAGATGAACCCGCAATTACAAATGTAGGACCTAAGTATGTGTCTACATACTGGCTCCAAAAAGGAAAATTATTGATGCTTAACAGGTTAAGAGATGCTTTCTCATAGACTATGCGAAATTTTTCAACTTGAATAAGTATGAATAATTTCCGATCTTCCTCAATATGAAATTATCAAGTATCAAACTGACATGGGATTACTCACGTGTGTTTTAGGAGGCTGGGTTCCTTTGACTGTTGGTACCACCCCTGTCGGCTATCTACTGATCGACGGTGATGAGTGGCACACTGCCGCTATTGCCGCTGTTCCTTCTGGTATTGATCAAACGGATGATCCGGTAAATCAGACTATCAGACTCGTTACTCTTCCACTGATACAGAAAGACACTGGGTAGTTCCAACTCGAGAGCGTCGG